ATATCCTAATGTTACGGTTGTCGGCTATGTCTCTACTGCATATGCAACCAGGCAATATCCCGACATTCTAGAAGATGTTAAAACTTACGCCGCTTGGAGGCTCGAAGATGATGGGCTCGGCGTTCGAGGCATATTTTTCGATGAAACGCCGAACCAATGGTCCGCCTCAAATGAAGCATTTCTAGCAAACATTAACGCTGCAGTAAAAGGCAGTTCTGGTCTAGGAACAGAGCCTCTTGTGCGTGCATTTCCCAATATACTCTAGTACTAGCACTAATACTGACTGATCGTTACCGAATAGGTCATACACAATCCAGGAACAGTTCCTCACAAGAAACTAATGTCTGGACAATGTTTACCAGATATCAATGTGGTGTTTGAAGCAACTCACCAGACGTATCGGGAAAATGCTTGCGAGAAAGCTCTCACGGATCTTAGAATGGACCCAGGACGTTTGGCGTGCTTGATGCACTCTGTACCGGAATCTTTGATGTCCACACATTCCGACGTTGCATCCGAGACTCAAAAGCTGAGATCGATTGTGGGAACATTATATATCACTAGTCAGGCAACAGAACTCTATACTGACTTGGGGGAGCATTGGGAAAATTTCATCCGAGCTGTTAGCTCCTAAGGATCTAGAACAGGAATCTCATTTTATCTACTTTTTTGGTGGAGCGTGGGGATTGTATTGGTAACCAACTTTTGTGCTTAATTGTCATCTTTTGATATCGGATCTTACGGAAGCATTTGGAAGCAGTAGCAAATATAATGAAACAAACCAACAATACGGGTTTTAGTCTCTTGGCAAAACTTATTGCAAATCTTCGTGTCTACCAGAATCCTGAGTTTTTTGTGATATTTGGAAGGCTAGTTCCGGAGAATATTTTTCCACCGAATTCTCGATCAGACGGCAACCCCTGAGCCTGCTGCACGGTTGGAAATAATCATGGATAAGCACCCCTTCTTCAGCGATAATCATGAAATATGGCACAATGGGTATGGAAAATTGCGACCGGGCCTCCTACCCGATTCAGTTATTTTTCCAAGTTCCCACAAAATACTTGCATCATCGATGTCAATAAAGCGAAGCGAGATTCATGGGAAAGAAAATTTCACAATTACCGTTTTATCTCGCCACCCCCAAAAGTAAGGTCGAACGGCTAGATCAGGAACCTAGCTGAGTCGTTGCATTCGACCCGCAGCGATTCTGTAAATCATAACACCCTGTCGGGTGTCAGGATGTCTTGGATACCCCGCAATCGGAAGGTCCCTGGTATTTTTCATGGTAGCTCGCCAGGGTCCAAAATAATACGCCCGATATGCTGGTCAGATTAAAGTTGCATCGTCTATACCATGCTCATCCACTTTCGTCCAATCTTGTTTGTTGTACTACCAATATTCACCGAGAATAGGAAGGTTAGTTCCATGATCAGTAGTTGATACTACCGCGGAGATAAATTAAGAGCCGCAAAGGGTATCATTTGATCTATAGGGCTTATGCACATCATCATCCTAATGTTGTGTGTGTAGATGTACATTAGGCAAGAGAATTGGTGTCCCAAATGGAAGCTCTAACTTGGGTAGGATTCCCACAGGGCAAAGAACCTGCTCAAAAGAGAACATGCTGCGATTCTTGTATATTGCTTGCTCGTGGTAAAATATAGCTGGCTGCTGCACCAATCCTAGTCATCATCTGCGGGCTGAGTTTCTATGTGTCATAATTTGGAGATTTCCGCAGGGATCCCCACACGGTCCCTTGTATTTTTTATCATCCCATGTATTTTTTTTCCTATTCCATGTACTTTTTACAGACGCTCGAATGATGTAAAGGTCGAAACTTGTTCGCATATCATGACAGTCTAGAGTGTTTGCTTCTACTCCACTATGTTTCCTTATGCCATGCAATTTCTGCCACCTGTTTAAGAACGACTAAATTTTCTAGTTGATATGCTTAACTTAAGCACGCATAGGATTGAAATAGCAACAAACAGGCGTGTGTGAAGCTTCATTGGTACACGATTTCTGGCAGCCACATCGTATTCTTTTCAGGCTAAAATATTACATTCCACTTAAAATCCACCTCCCTGTATATTTGCAACGCCAAGATCTATTCAGCAGGCCTCTACCCAATCATCCAGCTCCATCTTTTTGATGACGGTAAAAAAGCCATCCGCCTGTATGCCAGAGCCATCACAAACTTTTGTTTTTTCCGCTGAACTAACCTTTGGTGCATCTTTTGGGTATTCGATATTGAATACGGGCTTACCATTGTCAATGAATGCCTGCCATGTGTCACACTCCTCGTACTGCACGCACTGCTCGTTGACAGCAAACTGCACATAGTCCAATACACGATCGATGATCTCGCCAGCATTCTTCAGACCAATCCCTAAACCCCGTCCGTGGGCCTCAGCCGACAACCACTGCATATAATCAATAGAGTCCTCTTCTGTTAGTTTGAGCCCGTTGTCATTGGAATAGCCATCAACGTTGTCGGGATCAACCGCATCGCATGATTGATTGACCGCCATATCCAAGCGTGATTGCATGATGGCGCGCACATTTGGGGAGGAAGTGTTAGCCCAATATTCGTTTGGCCAGTCAGGAAGCACCTTGCCATAATCGGAAGGAAGGAAGCGACTCGTGTCGGGACGGAAGTTCTCGATGGTCCCGGCTGAGAAATAACAAATTACTTTGTGGGATTGCGAATGTAAGGTACTGATTATCGAAGGGGTGGTATTGGCCGCAAGGAAGAGATCGATGTCATAGATTGTTGTATTCGGATAGATGTTGGCGGGATCGAGTGGCGTTAGTAACTCAATGTTCCATGTATTGGAAGCGTTGAGGTTTGGGGTCCAAAATGAGCCGTTGGTAGGAGGGAGCGGGTTTGATGGTGAGGTGGTAGGAGTGGGCTCTGGGGGCGAGGAATGGTGGTGTCGTAGACCGAATGTCAGGCCCAGAGCCAAGCCTATTGCTAGGAGAAAGAGGAATATTAAACCAAGAATAATGTTGCATTTCCTGGTGAAAATCTTGTGTGGATTAACAGGTTTCTGTTCTTTGGAAGCCATGAGTGGTGTGCTGACGGCGATCTCGCCGCTCGTGAGAGGTGACTTGAATACTCCTCCAGAGGACATGTCGTTTCTGGCAGTACTCCGATTCGACAGTACAGCCGTCAAGGCAGCTCAAATATCCCTGATGATGTAGTGAGAGCCTCGGAGAATAAACCTCTGTTTGGGACCCTGGAAAAGAAAAAAAAAACAAACAACAGATGATTATCTTGGCGGCGTGAAGTTTTTTTTTTTACGGCACTTCAATAGCGACGTTTTCGTTGCATGGCGTGTCATGATGAGATTCTCTTAGGCGATCCTATATAGTAAAATCCCCCAGTGAATCCTTAGGTAACCCCAAAAACGCCATCTCATTCAATACGCACAGCCTCCTTAAAGCTGCTGATCGAGTGAGAAAAGTAATCCCCTCCAGTTCGAAAACGAAATAACCTCGTAAAACTGCTTACAGTGCCTATGCATTTGTTGTCACCGAATTTTCAAGCTGAAAACCTACACTGCCATTCGCGGGTTACGGTGGTGTAATGATTTTTTTTGGGCTTGGAGTTACCCACCCTCTCCCGAAGCTCCAATAATGAAAAATGAGAATGGGATTCTCATGTCATGTACCTCGGGTTTCTCAATCCATAGGGTATAGCATAGGTGGCTCTTGGCGCACATTGACCCCCAACCATGCGGCGCCAAGCGTGCAAGCTCGCTAAGGGGTCGCCTTCCAGAAACAGAAGGGTTCTCCCGTTTTGGTGATAGGGTCAAAGGGCATATGTTTCAACTTTCAAGCGGCTTGAAAGTTGAACCCCGATTTAAAAAAGCGTTCCATTAAATTAGGTAGAATTTTAGCTTTGGCACTATTATGGATACATCGCATCGAACGCCTATTACAACAGTGCGAAAATACGCGAAGCCTTCCAGACACATTGGCCCCGTATGCCGAGTGGTATTATGGGTAATGAATACGACATTCCAGGGGCCGTGATCCATTTTATGGGACGATGTTAGTGTGCGATTTTGGATCGAAGCCTGGAAGAGCTGGAATGCTAGTGATGTAGCGTTCTGGGTACCAGGCAGTTCGAGCCGCTGAACCGCCAAGGGAAATCTGAGATTTTGGCCACATGGATCCATGCATACACGTAAAAATAAAAATAAACTTGGATAGATCTCCGAAGTCTAAGCGGGGGGTCTAATGACTCGTTTCTAGCTTGCAGTTTTCTTCTGCGTTTGTAAAAAAAAATCTCTGAACGCTGAATCATTGTGTATGCGCATTTAAATATTACAAATTTAATGAAACAGTTGCGGCGGCTCGTATCCAGAAATTGGTATCCGAATGAGACGGCAGAGAAAAGCGGTAGGCGCTTTGGCAAGCTAGGAGACTTTTTTTTTTTGCGGGGGATCGGTACGGATACGGTGTGATTGTGTGATTGTGGCATGCATGGTACAGAAGTACATGTTGTGTAATCCGAGCCATCCGGACCCATAAATTATTTCAAGGGTATGCAATAAACCTAATCTGGGAGGTGATATCGATATTTTGAATTTATTGACATGTCGTTCAAAGTGATGTACATCTTGGCTCACTGATCAAGCAGGAGATAACTCAAAATAATCGTAGCAGGGTCACATTCATGCTTAGGATAATGAAGAAAAGGCAAATTAGACGTAGAACAAATTAGATATATGATAGATGGAATTTGAAGCTTCCCATTGAGAAAGAATGGTTCAATATTTGACCGGTGATAATCCTACTTTAAGTATGTAGGAAGAGCACGAAACTTTTTGACCCAAGAACTGTGATAGCGTAACAACGCGTCCCGCTGATAAGAAGAGAAATTCGTCGACATAAGGCAAAAAATACTGGCAGTAAGTGCTCCTTCCCAGCTCCCCTTCTGGGACCAAACCATGATTATTCTTGCGTTATGCTGAGTGAGACTGGCGCGCTTAGCTGCTCGATATTGGAATTGGTGTGGTGAGAGTAAAGCTGACAGGTGCGCCAGACAAAGTGACCCACAATGTTGTAGGGTCGTTACCAACCTGCTCAACAGTGGCCCCCTTGGTATCGGTGACTGAACCTGGGATAGTGACCGGGAGCGGTGTTGAGCAAGTGTTGCCATTTGCAGAGAGTGTGAAGCCCGTGATCGATGAGCTAGTAGTATCAAATTGATATGACAAGCTAGCTCCACAAGAATCCCGTGTCATTCTATTGACAAACATGGCAGCAAGCTGATGACAGGTTAGAAAATGCACAGTTAACAGGAGCCTTGGGACTTACGTCGTCATGTTTGTAGGTGATGAGAGGCCAGTCAACCCTATACCCGGTCAGTACCGATGAAATTATCGCAGAAACTAAACTCACAATCGAACGAATTCTTGAGTCACCGTCTCAACCCATGCCATGAGCAGCGAAAGCTGTGCTGTCACACCATTGATAGTGTACGTTGCTGCTCCTGTGTAGCGCACTAAATCATCAATGGATTAGTGAGTGCTTTTTATGGTGGCCTTCTTGGATACCACATCAAGCGAATCGTGGAGAGAGGAAGAATGAACAGAAGGACGGGCCATGACTTACAATTGGCTTGATGGAACCTATTTCAGAAAATTAGCTAACATGCATAAGAGAAAAGCGGAATATAACACTAACATGTAGGCATCATGGTGAAGACCCAACAAATGTCTGACATTTGTCTGTTTCTCGACTGCAAGGAGAGTATTTATATCACCGGATCCGGCACTGGTGTTTATCCATTCCAACACGGTACAGTCAGGCGAATCGCACTAGCTTCTGTCAGATCTAGCCGTTCTACTTGATCAAGTCGAACTTACATTGTAGTAAATGTTGGTTGCCCATCTTGGAGTTATTTGAATACCATCATAGCCGTTGGCCGCAACTGTTGTGAACAAAGGCCAATGCTCATTATCCTGTGTTCACGTTAGCGAAACTCAGGTAGTCTTGTGTGGATGAAGGTTTGTGCAACAAATGGAAGAGGGTTTGCCGAAAACATTGCACGGAGCAACACTTACAGGGTTCAAGAGAGCTGCTCGAGTATTGTCTCCAACTGCATGTGTGATACCGCTGTCAGCCCAGGCTTTAAGCGCATCACCATTGTGAAGCCCTGTGATGGCTGGTGGAATAAGTCCCTTTGGACTGAACCTGTCTGCATTGGCAATTCCGGTGGCAGTAAGCCAGGCTTGATTCCATGTCATCTCTCTATATACATCGGCGTAAGTCGCATTGTTTTGATCCTCGTGTGTGAAAGTGTGGGAAATGTGTGCATAGGCATTAAGATTAGAAGGGGTGGTCCACCACGTGAGTAAAGAATCGTCGCTTAAGCATTCGGTGGTGTAATTGGGATAAAGAACCGACGTTTTGGGCCAGATATCGGTTCCGGTTCCAATGGGCTTGATCCACTCCAATGGTGTATCGATTTGTTCGCCATACTCAATGGGTCCAGGAGAACAGACCTGAATTCAAAAGTTAGTCTTGTTCATCTAGTGGGCTGAAAATGGAACGCAAACGAGACCGAAAAGTGAAGAGAATGAAGAGTCACATGATGAAAGGGATACATACACTTTCACTTGTCGCGATTTCATTAGCTGATTCGACATTTCCATTGCCATTATGTCCAACCTCAATGAACCAATTACTTCCAGCATTTAACTTAGAGTTGATCGAACTCATGAATGTAATATGCTGAGCCAAATCGGCCGTGCCAATGCGGTAAGTCGTCCCAGTAGGTGAATAAATATCTGACTCCAAGAACATGTCGTCAATCTGTGTGCCGAATAGTGCTCTTCTGTATCCAGTGTAAAGACTTCTTGTGCCCCAGTCGATCCAAGCATGTTGCAACCATACAGAAGTGACAGCCCAATCTGTAGCAAATGGAATGTAAAACACCATTTGTTCTCTACCATTGATATTGTTTATCACGCCTGCTGTACTTGCGGAAGTGAATTGGCCATCAGAAGAGGGTCCTAGTTGTAAAAACTCCTTTGCCAATGTTGAATTTGTAATTTGAGTAGGATAGTGGTATATGCCCATGGTACTCATGGTGGCACCGGTCTTGAGTCCCGCCTTAGGAAAGGCTGAGTTGTCGGAAATGGAAACAAGCTGCTCAACACCACTATTACAACAAGCTCCTAATGCCTCTGTACCAAATGCAGCAGATGGATAAGAATCAAGCCTGACCAGCCGAACGCGGAAGGCGGTTTGATAGTTGTAGATTGCTTGCCATTGGTCGGCCGTAAGTGCACTTTGATACCCGACGTCAGGGTAGGAGTAACTCAGTTCTGACATAACAACAATGAGTCCATAATTTCCTTGACTTTCTGAACTGTTCAAGCTTGGTAGTGCTATACCAGCTGCAGGAACGATTAAGGTTTCATATGGGATTCCTCGATCATTCAGCCCACTCCAAGCAGAGTATGCGGAGACTGAATCTCGTGCAATGACAAGGACTTTACTGCTGACAGTATCGACTGCATCAGTAGCAATAATCTCTGCTTTAGGGGGGTAGCAACAGTAGTGTTGGCAAGGACAGCTACCTCTCCAATGGATAGCGTAGCGAGAGGTGCGGCAGGAACTGTCGAGGTCATAATAGCCTGAGCGTTGGTAATCGCAACTGTTTCTGATTGAGGGAGATTATCCGCGTCAGCGGGATCTCGGCGATGAGCCCGATGGCCAAGAGCTGCATCTAGGAACAAGCTCAATGGGAGAATATGGGTAACGAGGTGGTACAATGATACCATCTTGAAAGTTTAAAGAAGGCCAATTAATAGAATTAAGTTTGGATCACAAAATTTTGTTTTAACGAGTGTTGTTTGGTATCAAAACGAGAGAAGAAAGAGAAACATTGATGGTGATGAATATCGTAAAACGAGAAGTGTACTTGTCCCGACTTAAGAAGTAAAATGAAATGAAGCAACAAGTTACCAAACACGTAAAACTCTCATCTCACTCATGAGTAAGTTACCGCATAGAAGAGACTATTGAATCTAGGCACGAATCCTGACGGCCAAGGACAACGTTACTTGCCACAGCGCCATAGGTTCGATCGCGCTTTCCACCAAGGCCTCGGACACGAGCTTTACGGCTACAGGTTGGACACGGGATCCAAAGCCGCGTATGGTTTTAGATGAACCTGATGAGGCGGAGAATATGCAAAAGAAATGAGTTAGGAAGGAAGATAGATGAAAAATCGAACAAGGATGTGTATTGAGACGTCCCAAAACACGAAATAGCCGACATGACAGCAGGAAGGGCTGAGCTCATCCAATCCACACGAAGGTTAATGGGGAGCTGAATGACACATGGTATCTGAAAGTTCTGGATATAGCAATCCGAACAGTATCGATGGTCAAGTGCTGGCCAAACGAGAGCCAGAATGTGGCTGCAGCAGCTATTGTCTTGGGAAATATTTGGAGGCCTATTCCATGACTTTCACTCCATCGTGTGTAAGCGACTAGGACTAGGAGGGTATAAACATTCATGGAGAAGAGAAAACTTGCTGGGGGCGGCAGTAAGCATGATGGTCCAATGGATACTTAGTGCGGTATGCAAGCAGGATGTTATATTAAAGTTGCGATGAGAGTGGTCCAACCATCCAAGCGGTGTCTCAAGGAAAAAAAAACAAGCTTTCGGAAGCCCTTGTAAAGGGACAGGCCCGATGAGGCTAAGATATAACTACCCCTTTTGGAACGAATGTAGATAAACACCGATATATATAGAACTTGACCTGGAAAGATTTAGCAGATGTTCATGTACGGAGTAAACGACCAAAGTCTTGGCCCCGAAGTAACTCCAAGGGAAATTTATATGATGTGGGGCGCTAGTACTATTTTCGACATTATTAAGTAAAAAGATTTTCCGATCCCGAAGTCCGACCCAAATACCCCTCCCCTTCATCTCCGGTGGGCGACACGAGCCATTGTCGCAGTCGTAGGCGTAACCAGTTCCTCCATCGTACAAGTCTTTTCATCTATTCCACCCCAGACGAATGCTACAGTAAGTAAAGTAGTAAGAGTAGTAAGTAGACTGACTACAGTAAGTAAAGTACTAGGTAAAGTACCAAGTAGAGTGCTAATCCTAAGTAGCCCACCGACTCCACCGATCCGCCGAGTCTACCACAGCTAGGTCCACCTGAAACGAAACCGTCACAAGCTTTGTTCGCTCTTCGTCTGGAAAAGGCGTGAAAAGGCGTGTGAGAGGCTGGACTATCCCTTAGCCTTCCAACCACGGCACCCCATAATTCCAAAAACCATCTCAACTCACAGTTGCACCACATCCCTAGTCGCCACATGCCCAATGCATCCTCCCATAGCAAAAACGCATCGTGCACTATACGAAGCTGAACCTTGAGTCAATATGCTCAATATATGCGGAATTTGACAATTGTTCTGTCAAACATTGATCTCTCGGGTATCGAATGTTCTAACATCCTTCTGTGGCGTACGATGTGTACTCTCCGTGCTGACAATGTGCGCATGGCATCATCATCCAACGATCTGCAGCTACCAGGCATTTCTTCCGAAATTCAATATTTGCTTTCTTTTCCGTGTATTTTGGTCTTTCCATCCCACCTGCGGTGCAGGGCCACGTGTTTATGGATTTGGGGTTCAAAGTATCAATTTCTGCTAGCCGTCACCCGTATCTGCAAACTACGTTACCAGGCGGAATGCCTTGGTACAGAGGAACTTAGAGGGCGACTGTAACGAACGATTTTGACAGTTTCCGGATACGGGTTGCCAAGCATTTAAAATCAGGCGTAGTCGCGAGAACAGAAACTCGCAAATAATCCTATTCCTGGATACTACTACCCGCACTATAGAGCATGGGCTGAAAAGGCCTACCTGGTAAGTATCTACGAGTAAGTAACATTGGTAGCTACCTAGACCTACTTGGGGGGTGCCCAATCTCTGTATCCTCGGCGCTGTCTACCGCCCACACCATCTTAATGCAAATCTTGTCGTAGATCTAACTTTTATTATGACGGATGTGCTCCACCGCAACTTCTTCTGATGGTTTCTCTCCTTGACTTGTAACGTTTACTTTCACTTACCACATGTTATTCGTTGCCGTTCACTTTCGTTCTTTCTGAAGAACTTCTCGTTCTTCGGCCTTCATATCATCTATGGCTCAATACACAGGCCTTGAAGCTGCCTCTTGGGAGGACTTAACAAAATATTGGTGGCAGTTTGTGAGCTTTCCAATACGTCTGGCTGTTTCCCCTGTTAATTTTTAAACAGATTCTTGTTGCATTTATCCTTGCTTCTGTTGGTCTTGGCTTGAGCTTCATAGCTTATCTCGCACTACAGAGTTCAATAAAGGGTTATCGAGTAAGTAAAATAGCAAAGGCTATCTTCATACCTTATCGCAGACTCTATAGTCTTATATGATAAGACTTCATAGCTGTCGACATCTATAGCTAACGTTCTTCTGTATGTAGAAATGGAAATCTGCACAACAATCTGTCCCTGCGTCCATCAAGAAGTATCTTGTCAAGACTGTCTCTGTACTATCACATTATAAAGTCGTCGCTGTCGAGAAGAAGCCCGAAAGCTTTGGAGTATACTTAGGCGGGTTCAATCATACGCCAACAAGTGAAGATTTGCAGGTGTTGGCGCAATGGGACCTTCTTGTTGTCGATGCCTTTCAGGAGAATGTAATTCATGTTCTTTCATCTGGGCTTTACTATAAACCGCCACAGGTCCTAGCAAGACTTGATATAAGCCTTGTTGTGCCGCAGCAATGCAAAGATTCAGCGGCGCTCGAAGGTGCCGTTGCCTGGATCACTAAGCTGCTAGCTTCATCAACAGCGTCCGGTAGTGATTGCCGTTTTTCTGGAATTCTAATTAGCAACTGGCACGATCAACTGTCAAGTCCAATGATCGTCGAATTCATTACCTTCATTCATAAACTTGGATTCCAGACCTATCTCGAAACATCATCTCCTGGATTCTTACGTGATCCTAAATTAGCAGAACTGAATGAAGTAGCTGGGCTGATAATAAGAAATGGCACAATATCATCAAATGGGGACGAACGGGATGCGTTTCAGATGCAGGAGATGAGGCCCACCATTAAAGCTTTTGTTTCCCAAGCATGCCTCCGGCCATTCGTTGTCTGCTTATGGGAGACTTTGGATGATGGGGTAAATCCGACAAACGCCGTTGTTAGAAGATCCTACCAATGGTCAAAGTTCTACAGCGCGCTATCACCATGGATCGGTTCAAGCTCTGATTTAACTTCAACAGCTCATGGCATAGACCAGAAGGAGCCGTTGGGAGCCTTTTCATGGCTCAAAGAGCCTGGAGTCATGGAGGCACATAAAAAGTGGCGTCTAAACCATACTGTAAGTGCATCATCTAACACAGCACTCCATCTTTGTTCACGAAACAAAAAATTCACTCCTTGATTATCTACACGAAAGCTTACTGACGCTGGTTAAGATTGCCAATGAATATGTACCGGAAATGTCGAATCTAGCCGAGAACATTCTTGGGGCGCTCTCCATCGAAGTCGATCTCCAGCCATCGGGAAAATCGAACCAGCTATCATTTGTCGATGTAGATCTTCACATGCCCTCGGCTACTTCGCAAGCGCCTTTGGACCTGGCGAGAAATTCATCTGATTGTGACCTACCGGGGTTTTCAAGCAGATCTCTCACACCGGCAGACTCGCTTTCATCCATTCACGCACAGAACCACAGATTCTCCGATGGTCCATATTCGTATCTCAATCAAACGCCTGGGAATCCCATATCAACGTCTCCCGGTGGGTCATCTAATGACTTCCTCGGATGCTTTCCACTTGGAGTTCATGCCTCGAGGAAATCCTTTGACGAAATCCTCCTATCACAAAGAAAACTCAGATCCCTTGATCTTCTTGACCCGATCGAAAACACTGTATTGAAAGAAATTGGTGGCAAATTAAATCAATTTTGTAATCAGCCAGGGATAGTGGAGCTTTCAACATGGCATGCAGCGATACAAGAACTCGCGAATCAACTTTGTGGCTTAGCTGATGATTCTGCCACCACAGACTTGATCAGAGTGTACAAGGGCCTTGATTCGGGATTGCAATACCAGGGTGAAAGCCGTTACTGGGCAGTATTTGGGTTTGAAGAACGGGCCAAGCTTGACATTTTCATGTCAAGGAATGTTCAAGATCTCAGTGGAACAATCTTGCATACATTCTTATCAAGTCGTGGCTGTCCTCGCCACGAATCGTTTGAGGCAGAGAAAGGATTTTGGCAGTGGTTAACACATTCAGACTCATACCTACCTCCACGATTGCTCAATGACATAAGCTCTCTTTCACCATCAGAGCTACTTAGATTTCTCCAGACATTACAGTTATCATCAATCAAGGGTAACGGAGATTTGATCGACTCGATAATATTTGCATGCGAAAGAGAATTACTAGATTCCACAGACTTTACCCAGATGAAAGATGCATGTTCTGTTGGTTATCTAGGGAATCAAAAATCTCCCCAAGATCTCATAGCAATAAGATCGAAATGGCACGTGGACAATAACTCACAGCATCCTTCTGAGGAGAATTCTCTCTACGTCTTCAATCAAATCAATGATTCAATCACTATTGTATTGAAAGAAAGAAGGTTGAATACACTTCAGGCTATTACGAAGGCCCTGATTGAAATCATGGAAGCGAAAAAGATTGACGCACGCATTGACATTATTTGTCTTGCTTTATTTTCTGTTTTTCGGAAGCACGCGTTTGACGAGGCATATGTTGAAGTTACTGATAGAAACACCTTGTTCAATGATCAGAGCGATCAAGCGGCTGCCTTTGCGGAGCTTTTTGCAACAGGAGCTCGATGCGAGTCTTACTTCGACATGACTCCTAGTTGTTTCGGTAAATTACTTTCGGATCGGTATCGGGCTTGTCATCACCAACCTGGCCGGGAGCCTCCCATTTGGACTGAAGCCGATCCTTCAACTCCCTCAGCTTATGCAGCTGCAAAGATCGATATCGGAGATTTTAAAGCCAAGGGTCTTTCTGGAACAATGAGATTTACTTTCTTGAGTGTTTTCGCAATTCCAGCACTTTTGGATATTTTGCTGTTAACAAGCACTGGTAAAGGTCTCTACTTGAGTGGGAATATGAGCCGCACAGCTCAGCATTCTGCTACTTTAGCTTTGATGATTTCCCTTTTAATATCAGGCATTTGTGGCACATGGATAACATGTGGTGGCTCTTACTACCTCATTTCGATGGCCTTCTCTGCAATGAACCAATTCATAGCGACGAGGCTCGTTGGCGGTATTGCTTTCTCACTTGCAGTTGGCTTGCTTGGCTTGATCGGTCTTGGTATCAAAGATGGTATCGTTGCAGGACTAGTATTCTTTTTGTACTTGTTTGCACTAAGCACCTAT